CCGCGCTCCCCCCATACCCTGGGGGCTGGTGGTGGTCCCCCATCCCATGACGACGCAGTTGGTGCCGGTGGCCGGGGGACGCGTGGGCAGGGTCACCGGCTGGACGTAGCAGTTGGGGGTGAAGGGGGGCTCCACGCGCAGCAGCATGACGTCATCGGCGTAGACGCTGTCACCCTCCGAGGAGTTAAAGCCACTGTGGACCACAATGTCCACGGCCACCGCGAACTGCTCGTGTCCCGAGAGCGCTGCCAGGTTGTGCGCCCCTGCCAGGACCTGGATGTGGCTGGGGACATGGGGACACTTCTGGGGACATGGGGACATGGCTGGGGACACTGCTGGGGACATGGCTGGGGACATGGGGACACAGATGGAGACATGGGGACATGGCTGGGGACACTGCTGGGGACATGGCTGGGGACATGGGGACACAGATGGAGACATGGGGACATGGCTGGGGACACAGGGACATGGGGACATGGCTGGGGACATGTGAGGGACATGGGGATGTAGTCATGGTGGGATGGTGACGAGAAGTATGGGGACACTGGGGACACTGGAGGTCATGGCTGTGGACATGGGGGACACATGAGGGACGTGGCTGGGGACGTGGGGGACATGGTCATGGTGGGATGGTGACGAGATGGATGGGGACACTGGAGGTCACGGCTGGGGACATGGGGACGTGGGGGGACACGTGAGGGACATGGCTGGGGACCTGGGGGACATGGTCATGGAGAGACGTGGTCATGGTGGGATGGGGGACACTGGAGGTCATGGCTGGGGACATGTCTGGGGACATGGGGGACACATAAGGGACGTGGCATCAGGGGCTTGGGGACATGGGGGACGTGGTTGGACACATGTGAGGGACATGGGGGACCTGGTCATGGCGGGATGGTGACGGGATGGATGGGGACATTGGGGACACTGGGGACATGGCTGGGGACATGGGCTCTGGTATCCCATCCCAGTGCTCCCAGTGCCACTTCCAGTGTCTCCCAGTGACCCCTGGTGCCTCCCAGTGCCTCCCAGTCCCAGTCCCCCAAATGCCTTCCCAATCCCTCCCAGTCCCCTCCCAGTGCCCCCAGTGCCACTCCCAGTGCCACTCCCAGTGCCCCCAATTCCCCTCCCAGTGCCTCCCAGTGCCCCCAATTCCCCTTTCATGGCCCCAGTGACCCCTCTCAGTGCCTCCCAGTGCTCCCAGTACCCCTCCCATGGCCCCCAATTCCCTCCCAGTGCCTCCCAGTACCCCAAATTCCCCACCCACGCCCCTAGTGCCCCTTACC